CCCCAAGTGATGTAGCAATCAGTGGTCCTGGAAGCCATGTTATTACTACAAGTTTACAGTGGATGGATTTTTGTTTTGTTTTGTTTTTAAAGGATGTTGGAAATTTTGCATCTCTCTGGGGAGGGGGGCAGTATGTGTGCTTCTAACTACTTCCTGCATTGCCAAAGTGAAAACAGTTTAGGGACTGAATTTTTGTGCATTGAAAATTGTGGAATAATTGTTTAATTGATCTTAGGAACTATTTGGTTTTGGATCATATTTATTTTTACAACTGAACATTATTTTATATTTTGCACAATATATTATTCCTACTGTTAAATGCAATAATTGGAATGGCAAGACTACTCTTTGCTCTTTCATTCTTGTTTATATATTTCTGCACTGCCTGTTTTTTTTTCCTCCCTTGAACCTTTTCTACTATTGTGTAAAGCGTGTCTGATATGGACACTATAGGAACTAAGCATTAACATATATGTGGGAGATAAGGGTGAAAGCTGATACATAAAGGCAGCTGGAGCATAATGCCATAAAGTGATGAAAGGACAACCTTGAAGGTCCTCTGTGAAAAGATACAAGAATTGATCAAAGGAACTGTGTTAGAAGTCAGATGGTTGTACCAAGTTATGTGATTATTCTCCCACAATCTTTAATTTTTTTTAATTTTTTTAAATTATTATTCATGTTCCAGTGTTTTAGGACTGTTAAATTGTTTTAATTGTTGTTGTGCTTGTTTGCCACCCAGAGTCACATTGTGTGAGATGGGCAGCTATATAAATTGCCAAATAAATAAATAAGTGCAAAGTTACCCAAGATTACCTAAGATTACTCAGAGTCAATACCCTTCTGGTCCTTTCAGTCAAAGAACACCATCTATCAGGATCCAGGAAACACTCCTTCTGTGTACAGTATTTGCCACCTGAAATAATCTAACCCCCCCCCCCCAAGATCTGTGTTACCCCCCACCCTGATGGTGTTCCAGAATTTTTTTTTTTAAAATGGCTCTTCTCCCAGTAGCCATGTTGGCAATTTTTGTTTGTTTGTTAGAGGAAGTGTATGATGGTCCAGACACATGGAATTTCCTTTTTATTGCTTCCTTTTACTATTCTTATTTTCAGGTAATCCATCTATGGTTATTTTGGAGTTGGACATCCTCTAAATCTAATAAATCAGTCAACCAACCCAGGTCACAACACCACAAAAGAAATGGTTGATCACATTAGGCTCACAGTAAGACAGCTGGATAATAAGGATGGCTGGAAAAGAAATAGCCAAGAAGCCACATATCCAAAAACCAAATGTGATTCTAAATCTGAAAATTCTAAATGTAATAGGTGTATAGTGTAATAGGTAACAGATCACCAAATGATGGGAATAATAGGAAATACTCTTAAGGAGAAAACGACATACATCTGTGTGATGCAACTAGAATAGAAATGGTTTGGTGTTCCTTGGACACAAGGATTGCTACAATTTTGGGAATGCAAGCTGTTGTATACCATATTTCCAGGAAAGAAAGATTTGAGAGGAAGAAATACGTGGGTAAATGCAGCAATGGGATGGTCTTTACTAAAGCTATCATGGCCACATTTCTAGTGATGATGAGGATATGAATAAAACAGAAGAGCAGGAAAAGAGAGATCCATAGTTCAGAAGATCCAGGAAATCCCTCATGGATAAATTTCTTTGCACTGGAAATTTTGTTTGCTTGTTTGAGCTCCATAATATTTGAGTGCCAAAACAGACTCTTATAATGCACCAAGGGCATTTCTTCAATCTTCTCAGTGTATCTTTTCAGGAACAATTTGTTAGGCCCCATAATATTATTTTTAAAATATCTACTTAGTTTTATGCATGAAATTTGCCTGGCTTAATTCTTCGAATTCACAGGAATATTACACATTCCCCCTGCCTCTTTTGTAGGATCCTCTTGGATATCTATGGACACATTAACTGTGGAGTTTATTCTGAAGAAAACTGCTTAAATTTTCCTGGAACATCTCTTTAAGTACTTGTTTTTTTATTATTATTATTTTTAAAGAAAATATAGCCACGCCAATTTTCTTACTATTTTACCATTTAAAATAAAATCATCCCAAGTAGCTAAAAAGTAATTGTTAACAAGTACAACATGATAAAAAAGAGAGTTTTCTACTCACCTCCAT